GAGATTGCTTCAACCCATAAATTGCTTTCTTCAACCGACACACCTTACCTTCCTCCCCCTGAGCAACGTACCCTGGAGGTTGCTCCATATACACCTCCTCCTCTAGGTCACCGTGAAGAAATGCATTTTTAATATCCAATTGGAACAATGGCCAATCAAAGTGTGCAGCCAGGGAAATGAGCACTTGGGTCGAACCCATTTTAGCTACAGGTGAAAAGGTATTAATATAATCAAACATCATAGGTCTGTGTATACCCTTTGGCTACTAAGCATGCTATCTCTCCACACTACAATCGGCAAGATGTTTAATAGTGTAAACCCACCAACAACCAACTGCTTTCTTTCCTGGAGGCAGAGAAGTGAGTCCCAAGTATGATTAGATTGAAGAGCATAAAATTCCTCATCCTTCGCCCTTTTCCATTTCGGAGAGAGAAGAGCATCTTGAAGAGATCTAGGAACAAACACAGACGATAAAAGGGATACAAAATTCCGATAGGATGGAGATAAATGGGCAAATGAAACATAACGAGATATAGGATTTTCAGTACAAGCATGCTTACCTTTGCGAAGCGCAATGGAAAGATCAAAATGAGATGAATCCGTCGACAGAGGAGCCGCTGATGAYGGAGATAGGGATGGAGAAGGCTGAAACACAATACCACGAGGACCGTGAGCATACACTCGATGGATCAGTGGTCGCATTGACTCTTGAACAGCAGGAGTAGGCACAGGCACTTCCTCTATTGGTAAGGGAAGAGGAGGTGGGGATAGAGTATCAAGGCAAGTAGGTTCAGGTGAGGAAAAAAAATGAACATTTACAAAGAAAGTCATATCAGGAATAACAAAGAAGCGCCGAAGGGAAGGACTGTAGCACTTATATCCTTTCTAGGTCCGAGAGTACCCTAGAAAGACACATTTAAGAGCACGAGCATCCAACTTTTCCAACACCTGCCCCAAGCGATGAACAAAACAAACGCAACCAAAGACATGYGGAGGCAAAGGGAATGGAGATTGAGAAGGAAAGACAATACAAAAAGGAGAGGAGCCACTTAACACGGAAAATGGCAAACAATTAATGAGAAAGCAAGAAGTAAGAACAACATCACTCCAATATTTTTTTGGAATTGACATTTGAATCAAAAGTGCCCGAGCAATGTCAAGTAAATGTCTATTCTTCCGCTCAGCTACTCCATTTTGTTGTGGAGTAGAGGAGAAGGATGATTGATGTATTATGCCATGAGATTCAAAGAACATACGGAATGGGCGTTGAAAATATTCTTTTGCATTGTCAAATCGAAAGTATTTTAATGGAGATACCAAATTGATTTTAATTTCAGCATAAAAGGAGAGAAATATATCAAACACCTCTATACGAGATTTCATTAAATAAATCCAAGTCATTCTTGAAAAATCATCAACAAGGAAATAAAATATTTAAAACCATTGTAAGATTCAACTGGACAAGGACCCCAAACATCTGAATGAACAAGTTCAAAAAGACTCGAGACTCTAGTAGGTTCCCTTGAAACAAAAGAGACACGATGATGTTTACTAAGCTGACAAGCTTCACACTGTAACTCACGAGCAGACACAACCTCTGGAACAAGACTCTTGAGAGCTGGAAGAGAAGGGTGACCTATCCGATAGTGCCACTACAACGGTGTAATAGAGAAATGAAGAGTTGTTTGTGACCCACCACCATCAAGATAATACAGTCCTCCAGCTTCATGCCTGCCACCAATCGTCTTCCCCGTCTTGAGATCCTGAAAAATGCTATAGAACGGAAAGAATGAGACGGAGAAATTCAAAGATTTTGTCAACTTACTGACAAACATAAGACTAAAGGGAAATTTAGGAACATATAGGACGGACGGTAAAGTAAAATTAGAATGTAACGAAACATCACCGGTACCAGAGACACAGGATGTAGTACCATCAGCTAGAGTAACTGATTGGGTCGTAGAGGGAGGGGATAAAGATGAAAACAGGTCTGAGGACCCAGTCATGTGATTTGAGGCCCAGAATCAATAATCCATGGTTTAAAGGAAGAAACAAGACATGTTGTACCTGACTTTGCAAGAGTTGCAGTATTACCGAAAGAAGAAGAAGACAGACGAAGTTTTTCATACTCTTCTCGGGTGATGGAAACCATTTCCTTCTCCTTCCCAGTACCTAAAGCAATGGAGTCATCTCTCGTAGTACCACTATCTCCTTCTACAGTACCATGATTGGCCTAAGTAGAAGGTGGGCCATGCAGATCATAACAGTAGTTCACAGTGTGTCCTTCCCGTCTACAGTAGCTGCATTCTTTGATCATTCCTCGACCAGCAATATTGACACCACGACCTCTAAAGTTCCCATCTCTACTACCGTTGCGACCACCTCTCACACCAAGGTTACTACCTTTGGGATAGCTACTTCTACCATGTGAGCCACCTCTACCACCTCTGGTTGTGGCAAGGGCCAACTTCTCTAATACTGGAGAGCTATTTGTATGTGGATTCGTAACCCTTCTTACTCTGGAGAAGACTTCTGATAGTATAGGTATGTCACTGCTACCTAAAATCTGGGCACGCACTGGTTCAAAATCAGACCTCAATGCGAAAAGAAAACGTGTCACATCCAACTGATCTCTCTATTGTTTTAAAACTTTGAGATCAATCGAAAGAGGCTGATACGAATCCAATTCATTCTGCAAACTCTTCAA